AAGAGACTGTGAAATTGAACATTTTGCCATTATGCACTGATGCTCTTTAACTCTGCGAATGTTTTGCAATGTAATGGAGTTTTGTTTCAGTTCAATTTAACAAGTGTCTTTTCACTGTGAAGTGTAGCCCACTTAGTGTGATTGTGATAATCAATTGTTTTCATTATTTTCCCTAGCGTCTCATGATTATTACCTATTTCTACACTTTCCTATTTTCTCCTTTCTTGACCTTGGTTGTTTTTTTTCTTCAGTTTCATTTTCTTATTCATTTTCCTCTTCTATTTTTGTTCCTGAAATGGTTATTTTTAAATTTTATCATACAAATTTCGTTTTATAAGCGTCAAGTTAATCCGTTTTTTAGTCATCCTCTCAAAATATGGAACATTTTAATTATTAATAAATCTGCTTATGCCTTTCCTAATTATTGTGCCATGATTGTCCAACATTTTCATTCTGTCCTTTTTAAAATACCACTAATTAAAAATTATTATTATTAATTTTTAAGCAATGTTGATTTAAATTCGCCTAAAAAAATAAAAATAAATTCACCTACAGATTTACCAACTTAAATGCACCTTAATCCATCCCTTTGTTGCTATTTTATAGAGGCATGTATGGCTAATTTTATGTGTCAACTTGACTGGGTTACAGGATGCCCATATATTTGGCTAAACATTATTTCTGGATGTGTTGTGAGGGTGTTTCTGGATGAGATTATCATTTGAATTGGTCTATTTTTAGTAAATTCTTAGCTTTTTTATATGAAAATAATGTTTTTTTCATAGATGATATTCCTGAGTACTCAATTAGAGGCTGACTTTTATTTTGTCTTAGCAATGTAAAGAGAGTATTCTTTTACCTTAGTTTCCATCTTTGTTTAAAAAACTGCCTACAGTCTAGTAGTTTTATTGGTGGTTTGTCCTTTATCTCTGTCTGCTTTAAGATTTTCTTTTTCTCTTTGGTGTTCTTACGCTTTATTAATATATGTCTAGGTGTGGATTTTTATTTACTTATTTACATCCCTTCTGCATTCCCTGCTTCTTATCTGTTTCCATTTGTTCTGAAAAGTTCTCTGTCTTGATCTCTTCAAATGTTCTTTTTCTTTTTATATATTCTCTTTCTGGGACTCAGGTTAGAGATATAGGATGCTTTCTCCATATATACTCTGTTTCTCTTTTACATGTGCTGTATTCTAGGTTATTCAGACTTACATATTTATTTTTTCTTAATGGACTGATAATTTCAATTTCTAAAGTCCATATAATTATCAATTTTTTGGTTTTTGTTTTTGCTCAATCTTACTCCTGAAATCAAGATTTTGTGTGTTTGATTATCTTTGATTGTCAACTGGTATTTTCTTTCTTTTTTTTGTTTTTAAAGATTTTATTTATTTATTTGTCAGAGAGAGAGAGAGAGAGAGAGAGTGAGCACAAGCAGGGGGAGAAGCAGGCTCCCCACTGAGCAAGGAGCCTGATGCAGGACTGATCGCAGGACCCTGGGATCATGACCTGAGCTGAAGGTAGATGCTTAACCAACTGAGCCACTCAGGAGTCCCTCAACTGATATTTCATGATATGTGAGAATACTGATGGTCTATTTTTTTTTTTTTTGTAAGAGAGAGAATAGTTTTATTTAATTCTGCCAAGTTCCAAAAGTCAATATTGTATTTCTGGTAAAAAATTCTTTTAACAATTATTGCTATATTCCAAAGTCTTAATTTGCTTTGAGTGCATATATTATTTTTTTTAACTAAGAAAACTTTCGGGCCTTTAATGTTGTCTCTATAAACAATATTTACTTTAAGATATGTTTTGTCTTGTCCCTAAGGAATATCATAAGTTGATGCAGGAGAGGATAGAAAATTAACTTAGGAGTCTATAGCACATTTGTGGAAATTGATTTTAAACATAGTTATTTCAGTATTATTAGTGTACATTCATATTTATAATATTTAAGGAAATTAATTCTCTTACTTTATAATTTTAAATAATTATTTCCTTTTATAATCTAGATTAAAAGTATTTTTTCCTATAATTAACAATCTCAATTATTTAATTATATGTATTAACGTGTTGGACCAGAGTATAGGTAAAAGCATGAACTGCTACATTAGTTCAATTGCAGTTCCCCCTAGACCTCACTCAGAATTCATCAAAAAGAAATAGTTAGACTGGACAATGTTTGTGGGTTTTTCTGACCTGAATATTTGGTTGAAGCGTTAAAGGAAAGCTGCTGAAAAGATACAATTTGCATCAGGAAGAGAATATGATTATATTTCAAACCTCTTTTAAAAATATTTGCATGATGATTTTAATCAATCAATAATATCCTACGACTCCATGCAAAATTTACAATAATTTCTCAATTAAATTTTAATTTTCAATGTCATTATTTTACTTTTTATTCTCCCCTTACTAGATTTTGAAAGTCATCCCCTTTTAACTATAGTAAATTTCAGCTTCAAACTTCCCTTTCTCTTTGCCTTTCTTTGTAGTGCAGTGCAGGCAGGTGACCTAGGTCGCACAATTCAGACCCAATTTGAGATTCAATTTTTAAAGTTACAAATTAAAGAAACAGATATTTGGTTGAATCAATATTCTGAAAGGAATGGGAGTGGAGGCATCTAGCTTTGGGGGGCAGAAGTTGCCCTGAGGCAAATAGTTAGCCCTGCTCTGACACATTAGACAGCATACTGGAAAGTGTCATAGGGAAGACCAAGAACAAATGTTTACACTAAAAGAAAAGCACACTCTTACATGTAGATGGATTCAAATTCATCACTCCATGTTTCTCTTTCTTAAAAAAGTTTTAGAAGTGTCCATTTTTGGTCTAAAGCAAGGAGGTTATACCTGGATATTTTAATTTAGGAGTTGTTTGCTATTTCTTCCCCCAAGGAGAGAACAATGTCAATTACAGTGCTGAGTGTTTTGTTTTTTATTGTTTTCAAGTCTCAGCTGGCTTTATGGTATAAAACCAAGGTGCTTTCTGTTTGCAAGAGCTAACCATTAAATAAAATGAATTTTATAAACTTCCCTGTGAGAACCAGATCTCAGAGGACTCAGCACAGAATTTTTACTCTAGTAGAAAATTTTTAATCTAGAGAATTTTTACTCTAATGTTTAGAGCACTAGATACAAGGGCAGTTCTCTTACTTACAGAAAGTTAACAAAAGTCCTCTTGGCCAGGGCAGAGAAGGAGAGGAAAGGGGGAGCAAGATAGAGGATGAGTATGAATAGAGATAATTAGAAATCTCAGAGATTTCTGCTTCACTGTTCTCCTAAAATTGTGGAAGAAAACAACTTTCAGTGGGTGCTTTACAGTACAATAAAGATTACATTGTGGCATTTTAGAAAGAAAAGGAATCCCGAGTAGTACCACCTTGTTTCTCATGTGTGTGATGGAGAATGGCCAAGTTTTCAAGAGGGAGATTGTTCTGAACCGTTGTTTCTGGACCCAGTGAGCCTTGGGAGTAGGATCGGATAAGTATAAAATGGGAATCCCTCTCACTATGACGGCCTAAGAAGGAGCGTGACTGGAAGTTTCTGCAAAGAGGCCAGTGTGACTGGAGGAGAGTGGTCACGGATATAGCAGTAACAGACTAGGGGGTAAAAGGA